AAAAAAAAAAAAAAAAAAAAAAAAAAAAAAAAAAAAAAGATGGTGGAAGTTACATACTGGTATTTTAGGGCAATTTTTATTATTTTGAAAAGAGCCTCTGACATGTGGACCAGGAAAATGTTTCTGTGCTGAACTGCCTAGTGACTTGACCCCTCAGCCTTGTGCATGGCCTACTCCTCAAAACCACTAAGATCTCTCTGGACCTTAACACTGATGAACATAATTAACTTTCTGTAAAAACGAACAAAACCTGGAAAAGCCACTTTGTGTCTGCCTTAATTTCAGGACAGGATTCCATGGCTCTGCAACTTGCATGACATTTTACAAAGGTAAGAGAAAATCAGGCCCCAGGTAAGCCAGTGAGTAAAGAAAATCCATCACAAAGTATAGGGGGAAAAAATACACTCTTGAAATCACAACAGACTGCTGATATGGCATCCCAGAAATGAAATGCACCTCTATCAAGTAACCAACAATGATTTTAATCAGTCACAGATGTAGTTTAGTTGGGTTCTGGAGTCAACCTTCTAAACAACTGCACAATTACTAGCTGGGAATCTTGGTCAGCCACTTGGCTTCCAGTAACCTGTTTCTTCATCTGAAAATGGGGATAAATATAGTTCTTACTCACAGACTGTTGTGAGGAATTAGTGAGATGAAGCATGGGTAGCACTTAGAACAGTACCTAATATATATAGTAAGTGCTAAAAAAATAATAATGATGTATAGCTATACCTTAGCCACCACTTTTATTGCCTCCTACTTCAAACTCTGACAACCAGGAAGATCTGGGGTCATTCATAAGTCAACAGATAACTGGCCACCAGGACTGAAGTCTCAAATTTTTCAGTTCTGTAGCATGCCTCTGAGCAAACAAGGTCCTCCCCAACCCATCTGTGGGCCAGACCTCTGGGAATCCTGGTTGGGACACGGAAGATAAAGAAGTGGCAGGCAATAGGTTCTAACTCTTGCTGTCTCAGATGAAGTCATGTTTTATAAATCTAAAATCATGTGGGCCATATGAAATTAGAGTATACTTATGATTAAAAATCAGTTTACTTTTTTTAGACTGCACAGACATGGCTGGCAGCCCTGTCTTTGCATGGGCTTAGGGGTTTAAGGTTTGGAGTTGAGAACTCCTGCCCACTTGGGTCTCTAACATAAATAGACTTGTCAGAGATCTAACATACTGACCTGTGATGGAAGCAGAAGTGAAGATCCTCAGGAGAATAGAGATCAGACTTCCAGGCTTAGAATAAACAAGCTCTCACTCATGGCCCTTGGGAAGAGCCAGAAGGCTCAGGTACATAGGTTTGCTGCTGATGACACACTCCATCCACTGGGTCTCCAGTCTACAATGGCCATGAATCAAGGCAGGCCCCTTCAGAATTCTCAGTTCTGAACTGAAATTTCTAAGTACCCAAGCCAGCTTTGACCCTTCACCTCTTTATATAGTTCCTTCCTGGCCCCAAGACGACTGCCTCTTCTGGCTGGTACATGTAGGTTTAGTGGAAAGGGGGCTCACCCTTATGTATGGTCTTGAACCACACTGGTTTTCCCTTTTTGGTGCCTTGTCACTCTACCTCTATTTCTGGCTCAGTTTTTTTTTTTCCTTAGCACATCCCTGGAAACTTCACATCCTGCTCACCTTGACCACACAGGGGCTGATGCTCCCTTTGCTCCTGCTCTCTCTAGCTCTGCCCTGGTGACTTCCCCAGACTCCCAGCATACTGTAGAGTAGGAATGGAGAGAAGCCAGTTGTGAAATTCAAATCCCTGAATACCTGAGGAGAGCCTGAGCTGTGCTGTGTGTGGGGCACAGGTGCCTGCCGGCAGCCACCCATATCTACAAGTGGTGGCTCAGTCACATCCTACATCCAAGGGGCAAAGCCAATACTTAGCAAGCATTTCCTGTGTGCTGGGCACCTTGATAAACTTACTCATCACAGTTCTATGGGCAGGTACTCTGAGTAGTTGCATTTAGCAGATGATGAACTGATGCTCGGGGAGGTAAATATGTTACCCAAGATGCCTCACTAGTGGAAGATCTTTACCTCAAAGCCAGGACTGCCCTGATACTTGGCCACCATTTGTAACACCTTCCACTGTCAGAGAAGTGGGACTCTAGTCCTCAACCTAGACTTGACACCAATTATTTTAAATGTCTTCACTCTAGCATTTCCCCCACACACACTTTATTTTTTTAACAGAGATGTAGCCTCTGGACAGCATGTAATTCTTGCCTGTTCAGCTCTGAAGAAAGTATACAGAGACATCTTAATACAAGGAAAAGATGGTGCACCTCTGAAGTGTGATGAGTCAGGAAACGAAGAAAAGCTGGCTGAAGTGAAGCTCCTTGTGGTCCATCTGACTGGGTCGTTCGAGGTCATCTCTGGACGCTTACTCAAAAGAAAAGGACATTTTATGTCCCCTGAGTTATTGCAGTCCCAGTTTGATACTCTGGAGCCCCCATCAGCTCCAGAAAATTTCATTCAAATCAGTGTGGACAAAAATCTTTCAGAGATAATTGCTACAATTATGGAAACTCTAAAATGAAGTGAGAATCATTTACATCAGTGGTCCAGAACACAACTGGGCATAACTCTGTCTCCCATCCCAAACCGTGTTCCAGTATCCTTGTTGATACTGTATTCTAGATTCTTCTTAAGGTGAATAAACCATAATGTATTGAGATATGCTTGTTTGGGTGGATTTTTAGGAATCTGTGATACTCTTGTCATCATGCTCTGGCATATTCAGAGAAAAGGAGAGGAAACTTTGAAAGTGAAGCTTCAATTGAAGTTTAAATTCGTGTGACCCAATCAAATAATCAGAGGAAATTCTATAATCTATGCTTTAAACCATGACTTATTTAGAACACTCTTGATCTTGCCTGTACTTGGACAAATAAATAAAACTTGGCTATCCTTGGCACCCTCTGGAGATCAGACTCAGGAGCAGAAAAGCATACAAAATTGACCACTCACCAGCAAGTCATGTTATACCACACACCTCTTATTTCTCTCTCTCTTTGGGTCATTTCTAGGTAAATAAAAAGCACACGCAGTTCACAGATTAAAAAAAAAATTGCAAAGGTGGAACTTGAGTGAACGAAATGCATGACTCACTGATTCAGTCTGCCCCCACCTCATTTTAGAGACCCCTGTGAGACGAGGCTGTTATCAACCTGCCCACCTTCCTGCTGTAAAAGCTGTCAATGATGGACACTAGGCAGGCTAGGAAGGAACACCAGAGGAGCTGCTATAGCCAAAAACAAACAAAACTTTCCAATGGGCAGCTTTATGCCAGTGGCAGCGGGGTTGGGCGAGGCTGTGGGGAGCTTAGGGGCATTGGTGCATTGCTGGCATGCACCTTACCAGGCACCAGCAGGGAAAGCTGCAATCTGGCCAGCATGGGTTGGGTTTGAGCCCTTCCCTGATGGGGCTCCAGGAAGAAGCTTCCTTATCCCTCTATCCTAACCAGGGCCACAAGACCCAGCCATTTTGCAGGGCCACTGGTTGGTTCTGGCCAAAAAGTGAGTTTTGGAACCAATTACCTCTTTTCTTTCACAAGGATATACATTTCTTTGTCTCAGGAACCACAAATACAATATGTGTGTGAGGTACCAATGGAAAGAAAGGGTCCTTCTGGGTGGACGGACCTTGCCTAAGAAAATGTGGAGAGAATGAGGAAGGTGATGGAGGAGTAAGAGGTGGAGCTCACCTTCTCCTCACAGATATATCAAATCTACACGTGGAACAACTCCTACAGAACACCTACTGAACACTGGCAGAAGACCTCAGACTTCCAGAAAGGCAAGAAAATCTCCACGTAACAGGGGTCTTGGTTCTGTGGCCAGGGGTTGAGCCTGAGATTCTGAGGTGGGAAGAGCTGAGAGCAGGATGCTGGACCACCAGAGAACTCCTGGCCCCAGGGAATATCAACTGGGGAGAGCCCTCCCAGAGGTCTCCATCGCAACACCAAGACCTAGCTCCACCGAACGGTCAGCAAGCTCCAGTGCTGGACGCCTCATGCTAAACAACTAGTAAGACAGGAACACAACCCCACCCATTAGCAGAGAGGCTGCCTAAAATCATACTAAGTTCACAGACACCCCAAAACACACCAACTGATGCGGCCTTGTCCATCAGAGGGACAAGATCCAACTCCATCCACCAGAATGCAAGCACAAGTCCCCTCCACAAGGAAGCCTACACAAGCCACTGGACCAACCTCACCCTCTGTGAGTGGACTCACCAGAAGCAAGAGGAACTATGACCCTGCAGCCTACGGAAAGGAGACCCCCCAAAAGTAAGTTAAACAAAATGAGAAGACAGAGAAATATGTTGCAGACAAAGGAGCAAGGTAAAAACCCACAAGACCAAATAAATGAAGAGGAAATAGGCAATCTACCTGAAAAAGAATTCAGACTAATGATAGTAAAGATGATCCAAAATCTTGGAAATAGAATGAAGAAAATACAAAAAAAACACATTTAACAAGGACCTAGCAGGACTAAAAAACAAACAGTAATGAACAACACAATAACTGAAATTAAAAATACTCTAGAAGGAATCAATAGCAGAAAAACTGAGGCAGAAGAACAGATAAGTGAGCTGCAAGATAGATAGAATGGTGGAAACAACTGCCACAGAGCAGAATTAAGAAAAAAGAATGAAAAGAATTGAGGACAGTCTCAGAGACCTCTGGGACAACATTAAATGCACCAACATTTGAATTATAGGGGTCCCAGAAGAAGAAGAGAAAGAGAAAGGGTCTGAGCCAATATTTGAAGAGATTATAGTCAAAAACTTCCCTAACATGGGAAAGGAAATAGTCAATCAAGTCCAGGAAGCACAGAGAGTCCCATACAGGAGAAACACACTGAGACACATATTAATCATACTAACAGAAATTAGATTCAAAGAAAAAATATTAAAAGCAGCAACAAATAACATACAAGGGAATCCCCATAAGGTTATCAGCTGATTATTCAACAGAAACTCTGCAGGCCAGAAGGCAGTGGAAGGATATATTTAAATTGATGAAAGGGAAAAACCTACAACCAAGATTATTCTACCCAGCAAGGATCTCATTTAGATTTGACAGAGAAATCAAAAGCTTTACAGACAAGCAAAAGCTAAGAGAATTCAGCACCACAAAACCAGCTCTACAACAAACGCTAAAGGAACTTCTCTAAGTGGGAAACACAAGAGAAGAAAAGGACCTACAAAAACAAACCCAAAACAATTAAGAAAATGGTAATAGGTACATACATATCAATAATTACATTAAATTTAAATGCTCCAACCAAAAGACACAGACTAGATGAATGGATATAAAAACAAGGCCCGTATATAGGCTGTCTACAAGAGACCCACTTCAGACTTAGGGACACATACAGACTGAAAGTGAGGGGACAGAAAAAGATATTCCATGCAAATGGAAATCAAAAGAAAGCTGGAGTAGCACTACTCCTATCAGATAAAATAGACTTTAAAATAAAGAATGTTTGGGCTTCCCTGGTGGTGCAGTGGTTGACAGTCCGCCTGCTGATGCAGGGGACACGGGTTCATGCCCTGGTCCGGGAAGATCCCACATGCCGTGGAGCGGCTGGGCCCGTGAGCTATGGCCGCTGAGCCTGCGCGTCCAGAGCCTGTGCTCCACAGTGGGAGAGGCCACAACACTGAGAGGCCCGCGTACTGCAAACAAACAAACAAAAAAAAGAATGTTACAAGAGACAAGGAAGGGGACTCCCTGGTGGCACAGTGGTTAAGAATCTGACTGCCAATGCAGGCAACACAGGTTCAAGCCCTGGTCCAGCAGGATTCCATATGCCGCGAAGCAACTAAGCTCATGTGCCACAACTACTGAGCCTGCACTCTAGAGCCTGTGAGCCACAACTACTGAGCCCATGTGCCACAACTACTGAAGCCTGTGAGCCTAGAGCCTGTGCTCCACAACAAGAGAAGCCACCACAATGAGAAGCCCGCAAACCGCAACGAAGAGTAGCCCCCACTCACCACAACTAGAGAAAAGCCCATGCACAGCAACGAAGACCCAACTCAGCCATAAATAAGGAAATAATAAAAATAAAATGCTCCCAGTCTTTAAAAAAAAGAGAGAGAGAGACAAGGAAGGACACTACATAATGATCAAGGGATCAATCAAAGAAGAAGATATAACAATTATAAATATGCACCCAACATAGGAGCACCTCAATACATAAGGCAAATGCTAACAGCCATAAAAGGGGAAATCGACAGTAACACAATAATAGTGGGGGACTTTAACACCTCACTTACACCAATTGACAGATCATCCAGACAGAAAGTTAATAAGGAAACACAGCTTGAAATAACACAGTAGACCAGATAGATTTAATTGATATTTATAGGACATACCACCCAAAAGTGGCAGAATACACTTTCTTCTCAAGGGCACATGGGACATTCTCCAGGATAGATCACATCTTAGGTCACAAATCAAGCCTCAATAAATTTAAAAAGATTGAAATCATTTCAAGCATCTTTTCCAACCAAAATGCTATGAGATAAGAAATCAATTACAGGGGAAAAAACTAAAAAATACAAACACATGGAGGATAAACTATACACTATTAGGTAACCAAGAGATCACTGAAGAAATCAAAGAGGAAATCAAAAAATAACTAGAGACAAATGACAATGAAAACACAACGATCCAAAACCTATGGGATGCAGCAAAAGCAGTTCTAAGAGGGAAGTTTATAGCTATACAAGCCTACCTCAAGAAACAAGAAAAATCTCAAATAAACAATCTAACCTTACACCTAAAGGAACTAGAGAAAGAAGAACAAACAAAACCCAAAGTTAGCAGAAGGAAAGAAATCATAAAGATCAGAGCAGAAATAAATGAAATAAAAAGAAAACAATAGCAAAGATCAATAAAACTAAAAGCTAAACAAAATTGATAAACCTTTAGCCAGACTCATCAAGAAAAAGAGGGAGAAGACTCAAATCAACAAAATTAGAAATGAAGAAGAAGAAGTTACAGTGGACACTGCAGAAATACAAAGGATCATAAGAGACTACTACAAGCAACTATATGCCAATAAATTGGACAACCTGGAAGAAATGGACAAATTCTTAGAAACGTGTAACCTTCCAAGACTGAACCAGGAAGAAATAGAAAATGTAATTACCAGTCATATGTAATGAAATTGAAACTGTAATTTAAAATCTTCCAACAAACAAAAGTCCAGGACCAGATGGCTTCACAGGCAAATTCTATCAAACATTTAGAGAAGAGCTAACACCCATCCTTCTCAAACTCTTCCAAAAAACTGCAGAGGAAGGAACACTCCCAACCTCATTCCACAAGGCCACCATCACCCTGATACCAAAACCAAAGATATCACAAAAAAACAAAACTAAGGCCAATATCACTGATGAACATACACGCAAAAATCCTCAACAAAATACTAGCAAACAGAATCCAAAAACGCTTAGAAGGATGATACAGCACTATCAAGTGGGATTTATCCCAGGGATGCAAGGATTCTTTAATATACACAA